CTATTCGTTACATGATGCAGAAGGGACGCACCCCGCTCAAGGACTTATACGTTAATTTGAGACTAAGCTTTCGTGGGCTAAAGCCCACTTCATCAGATGCATGCAGTGGAAAATACAGTAGGAAGATATATATACACAGAGAACATGAAAAAATGGGTGTTGTCATACCAGCTATAACAAGTCTAATCAATTAACATGGGCTATTATCAGCAGGAGAAAAAAAAGCTTTTGTAGTGATAATCAGGATGGTCAATTTGCAAACTGGCCACCATAAAATTAGGCTTGACTAAAGACTGGGAGTGGATGGGTCATTACACAAAGTAAAACTATTTCCCCATGCTAATTTTCCCCCTACTGTTATTCACACCTTCTTGTCAACTGTTGGAAATGGGCCATCCTGATTATCACTACAAAACTTGTTTTTTCTCCTGCTGATAATAGCTCATCTTAATTGATTAGTCTCATTATAGCTGGTATGGCAAAACCCATTTTTTAATGTTCTCTGTGTATATATATCTTCCTACTGTATTTTCCACTGCATGCATCTGATGAAGTGGCCTTTAGCCCACGAAAGCTTATGCTCAAATAAATTTGTTAGTCTTTAAGGTGCCACAAGTACTCCTGTTCTTTTTGACTTTTAGGTCTGTAACTGAGTGACCAGGGAGGTTGAAGTGTTCTCCAACTAGTTTTTGAATGTTATAATTCTTGACGTCTGATTTGTGTCCATTTATTCTTTTGTGTAGAGACTGTCTGGTTTGGCCAATGTACATGGCAGAGGGGCATTGCTGGTATTTTATAGATAGGGAACTGAAGCACAGGGCAGACTAGGTGACTTGCCTAAAGTCATACTGGAAATGTATGGCTGAGCCCAGAACTAGACCCAGTTCTTCTGTGTCCCAGTCCAGTGCCCTATCCATGAGAGCATTTTTCTCCCTTCCCACCCCCATATTATTAGGAGGTAGTTATTATCCCCTTACTCTCTTTTGTCCCATTGCTAATTGAATTTAAGCAAAGGTATGTTGCACCCATATAATTGAGAATAAATTTGGGCCCTTTTTCCATATGTTTGTCTCACTAAGGGTAATGAAATATAAAATAATTATTCAAATGAGAAAAGGACAATGTCCAAAGACAAAGAACAGTATTTGAATGTTAACTTCCAGGTGCTAATTCATAATTCATTATAATCAGGATATTGCTGACTATAGATAGGTGTTATGTCCTGCATTCAGAGAACAAAACAAAAGCCATGGGTTATAAGTCAATGGGACTCTGCCTGGAGTAACTGTATGTGTAGGCATAACCCTTTGCAGAACTGGGGCTCAGGTGAGGCTCCTCTACCTGAAAATATTGAGATCCCTTTTCGCCTTAAAAAGTACAAAGGCAATCTCTCAGACCTGACAACAACAATTCCACTGGCAGCCTCAGAAATGTCATCTGAAATCATTACCACTCTTTGCCGTAAGCCTTCGCATTTATAAACAGCAATACGCTTTGAAATACAATGCTAACTACAAACAGAAAACTGGCATGATCACCTCCTCATCCCTTGCTTGATCTATTTCTATGAAACAAATAAAATATTTTCAAAAAATTCTTAGTCTTTTGCTTGCCTGATGCTTTTTAGCTCAATTCTAGAACTAAAATCATGCCTGGCTTTTATAAGTTAATGTGAGGATCGTGGAAAGTTAATTATTTTTTAGACATTGGATTTTGTTTTTCTAAGCTTAGACCACGGCCTCTAAAAATCTCATAAGACTCCAGTCTATAACAATTTGCCTGTCCTTCCCTAGAGATTGCATAATTTAGTTTTTGGCATTCATAAATTAATTTTATATTGACCTTCTCTAACTTCCATAGATGCTAGGGCCCACTTCAGCAAGCCCTCACCAACTGACTTGAATGAGTGGCATGCCTATGTGAGAAACTGCTTGCTGGAGCATGCCCTGGATTACAAAGGAGCCTGGTTCTGACCCTCCCTGCACTTTGAGGAAGCTTGAAGCTGGATCCAAACTATTCTATTTCACAGTGGTTCGTATACTTTCCTGCTCACCACAACAGCTGAGTGCCTTCCAGTAGCACCTTAAGCAATGTGACTACACATATGTCATGAGTTGTTTATTTTCTCACCCATCTGTCCAGGGGGAGAAATGAAGTGTATGCAGTGGCGTGACTTGTTTTTTGGGGGGAGGGCGGGTCTTTGTTGCGGGGAGAGGGGTGGTTTTGTAATATACATAATCTAAACATCATGGCCAGCCTCCCCTCTCTATAATGGCCAAACCAAGGTATACTGAGTCATAGTGTATATGAGCTAGACATTAAAGATACTATGTTTTTCTCTCAGCATCTTCACTAATTTCCCTAGAGGGTGGCAGCAGGCTGAATAATGTTGCATAAACTGCCTGAGGAAAATCTGAATCAGAAAAATATGCTAGAATAGTTTATCTCGTCCAAAAATTAAGGATGGCCAACTTCTGCCTATTTCTATTGAATTTAAGTTAGTTACAGCATAAGAAGTCAATGCAATTAGAAACAAAATCTTAACATGTTGAATTCCACATGATTCCCTCTTTGCTGCTGTCTTGTTCTAATTATGGACCAGTAGCAAATTACTACCCCTTCTCCCTGCACCAGCTCAGGTCTGCTGGCCAGCACTTTGGGGTGGAGTAATCTGCCCTCTGCCCAGTCTCCCAGCCCCTTTTTCTGTGGAGGCTTGCAGCCCCTGCATATCTGGATATAAAGTCTGTGGAGCTCAGGCATAAGGGGGTCTGGGGTAAAGAGTGTCTAACTCAACCAAGCTAAAATTTATCCCTAAACCACACACAACAATTAGTTGTTGGTTCAAAGTGCTGGACTTCAGTTCTGCCACAACATCAGTTGAGGAGCTCTTGTCAGCATAGATTCACTAGAGTAAGTTAACCAAAAGTCCTGTCTACATGTTTGAAAAGTAGTCCACAATAATCCTCTACAACATTGCTCTTGAAGTTTAAAAAAAAAAATCTTAAAGACCCTTTAACACTACGGTTAGTCTCAAGAAAATGCTGTAATGATCCCATGCAAAGAGCATTTATGTGGGTAGATAGGTGTTTCTAAATATGTTTGTAGGGCTTAAATATGTTTGGTCTAATTCTTATTTATTTCAATGTGGATAGTGGTTTGGACACTGACCTGGGAGTAAGCAGACTGGGTTCAGTTTCCAGGTGTGTCGGGGTATATCTACAGAGCATTTTAAAACTGCGTCTGTCGAACCTGGGCTTGTGGACTCGATGTTCCAAGCCCATGCTTGAGCTGGGTCTCACAGCTGTGCTAATGTGTCCATACTACCCTACACAGACCTTCTGACTCAGGTCTGTGGCTTGAGCTGTGTCAACATTGCAAAACGACAGGGCTTGAACCTGAGTCATAGTGGGACTCAGGCTCTGACCCCCCCTCTCCAGCAGGGTCCTAGGACTTGGGTCCTCGGTGCTTTCAAATTTGTGTGTGGATGAAAGAGGGGCTTGGGTTCTTATCTGAATCGGAGCCCTGATTTAGTGTGCAGTGTAGACACACCCTTGGGAACCTGCTACTTGA